CCGGGCTGGATTCGAATCCGCCACCTCAGGTGTATGTGGCTGGCGCCCTAGTCGCTTGAGCCACAGATGCCGAGCCTAAAAAAATATTTTCTAGTGAAGGTTTGGATCCTTAGCCTGGGGAAAAGCATTACCAATTGTCTTCTAGGTCAGCTACACCCAGGCCATGAGGAGAAGCTATGTGCCCTACACGGCCACCCAAGGCCTTGGCTTGCTTCTGGGTTCTCAGCTAATGATACTTTTGTGTAAAAGGGATGGTACTACAGGCCTCAGAGGATGACATCAGGCTGCTTCCTGGGCTGAGTGCCTCTTCTGATAGTGGGATATACATGGGCCAAATCCCCTAGAGGGCTCTGTTGGGGTTTGGTCTATGCCAAGGTTAGAGCCAAGGCCACGGCTTGTAAAGGGGCTTAGCCTGGGTGAAGAAGTCAGTTCTTTGCCTACCCACAGGACAGAAGCTGCTGCTTGACCTCCCGCAGCTGATATCAGACACCTGGCTGGTGTTCAGCACTCGCCAATGTGATAGCTTCTTCGTGGCCATGCCACAAGCCTGGAGTCACTCACCCCCTGCACCCATGGGTGCTGCAGAACTTGGGCAGCGCTGAGTCTCTGCTTTGCATCTCGAACCAGGAGCCTGGAGATGAGGTCTTTGGCTTCGCTGGAGATGTGTGCCCAGTCCTTGTCGGGAAACTCATACTTGCCTTCCTGGATGCTCTCAAACAGCTTGTCCTAGGTAAAGAAGATTCCTCTTGAGGCCACACTGGTTGGGGATGGGCAAGATGTGCCTGTCACTGATCTGATCGCCTAGCTTCAATCAACCTCAGCTGGAGCTGCAGCTCCTGGCTTGGGGCTGCCACAGCCTGGGCCCCCTTCCCATCCCCACCCCCCACTCTACTTTAAGTCATCAAACTATGAACAAGATAGGTAAATGTACCTGCTGGTCCATCTTACATACAAACTCAAGAACAAACCTACAGAACCTATTACCTGAAATAGCCCCCATGCATAAGTTATATGGGTTATATGTGGGGAATTTAAGTTTTTTTCAGTATGTCCATTTTAAGGTAGAGATAAAAGAAGCCAAAATAAAGGAAAAATAATCCTGGCAAGCAAATTTTTGGCTGACAGGAGAACTGCGGATTGAGGATTTGTTCTATTATAAAGGGCCGTCTTGAAGGTAAATCTTTAGTGACTCCAGCTTCTGAGGCACTAAGGCTATCCCTGATGGACAGCAGAAGGAGAATCATATGTGAAATTCCTTGAATAAAAATTTATTAATTTTGCCTAATGCCATAATAAAGAATAACTCTTTGCACACCCCCCCCCCCCAAAAGAATCATCAAACTATACAGAATGCCCTTGGCAGGCTCTGGACAGTGATGGGTGGGAATATGACCTGTAGCACAAAGCCCAGTCCTTGATCCTGCCTTGCGGGCCCTCTGTGAACCTCTCAGGCCTCATCTCCCACCACCAGCTGTCTTAGATACCACGTTTCCTCCTTGTATACATGTGGCTGTTTCACATGTCCCTGTCTCTGTATTTCTCACCCCCACTTCCCCATGGCTGCCCTGACAGAAGAGGGAGGGCACTATAAAGCCCCTTCCAGGGGAGGCACACGCTCCCAGCCCGGTCCTGCCGGCGTCCCACGGCCACGCTGAGCCCCAGCAGGCCTATGCAGCAGTCCTGGGGGCTGCACTCACCTGGCACACCCTGCAGACCTCGCCCCGGTCCCAGCCACAGTCGGCCCCGCAGTGACCCACAAACGGGGGGTAGCCACTGAGCATGATGTAGAGGACCACACCTAGGCTCCACAGGTCACAGCGCTTGTCATAGAAAGTGGCCTGATCCATGAAGACCTCCACCACCTCGGGGGCCATGTATTCTGCAGAGCCACACTGTGGGGGCCAGGGTTGGCAGGAGAGATGGGAGAGAGAGGCTTAGTTACCAGGTGGGCACAGCAAAGGGCACAGTGTATTGGGGCAGGAGCAAGAGGACAGGGCTGAGGTACAGAGCAAGAAGACATCAGGAGGGCCAGCCAGCTCAACAGATGCCACCAAGGCACCTCAAGAAGCTGGGCCAACCTGATGTTTGTTAACTGAGCCTCATCACTTCCTATGACCAGTTTCAAGCAGCCTCCTTATCTTTTCAGGTCTCTGCCAACTGGACCTTTGGCAGAGAAGCTCCAGGAATCTCTCCCTGCCTCAGCTCTCCATAAACAGACACTTCATGCACAGATACTAAATGCATCAGGAATATAGCTCTGGGAGAGAGATCTGTGGAGATCCAATTCTGTACAGAAGATTTCCCACAGTGAATCCTACCAAACTCTCCTGCTAGCTCAGAGCAAGGATGTGTAAGAATTTAGAATTAAGAGCTCATCAAAGGTAGAGGAGCTCTTAGAACAAATCTGATCTTCCCACCCTACCATATACAGATGACAAAGGCAAGGCCCAGAATAGGACAGGGATCTGTTTGAGCACATCTGTGGCAGACCCAGGACCAGAACCCAGGATCCCCTCCTCCTAACCTCTCATAGAAGCCTGCTGATAAGAACATGACACATATTTTCCTCTTACTTCTTCATTATTTCAGGCTCACCAAGAAAACAACCCCCTCTCAAAAGAATTTGATTGGGAGGCTAAGTGTTCTCAAGAAAGGACATTTTCTTTGTTCTTGACAATTGGGGTTAATGACTTTGAGAACAAGGTAGCCAGCATGTTAAAGCTAATTCAGAAACACCCCTAAAAATGTTGCTTAGAGTCAGAAACAATATAGACATAAAAGCCATCTCTTAAAAAAGGATTACTGGGAAAATTTACTTGTGAAACATACAAACCTCAAAAGAATCATAATAATGATAGTACAGGGATCCTCAAATTTTTAAACAGGGGGCCAGTTCACTGTCCCTCAGACTGTTGGAGGGCAGGACTGTGGGCCCCGGGATGAGTCGGCTGCTAAGCAGGACAGGCAGCGGTGGCAAAAACACCCAGCAGGCTGGATAAATGTCCTAGGCAGGCTGCATGTGGCCCGTGGGCCATAGTTTGAGGACGCCTAAAGTATGTATACAAGATGTCTTAGGAAGAGGTAGCTCCCAGAAGCACCATCTGGGTGTGAAATGTGTAAGTCAGAGAAGCAACAGGACAATTTAGCCTAGTGATCCCGCCATCCCACCTGCCTGTTGCCTGGGACCTCACAGGGCCCTCCTATAGCAGTGTTTTTCAACTGTTTTTATCTTATGGCACACTTGAACCTATAGTTAAATTTCTGTGGCACACTTAAATTATGTTGATTATAAAAAGTTAAGAATATACTTACTGTGCTTTGAACTTCTTTCAAAAATAATTTCATTAATGATCTTTAAAAATTTTCACAGCCCTCCTAAGAGCCTCCCACGACACAATGAAACTCACTGCTCTAGAGAGAAACTATCCCTTCCAGAGTGGGGGAGGACAGCCCCCCTTCCTCCATCACAGTGGGGCTGGGCTATGACTTCAGCAGCGGGAATGGGATTAACAGAGCTATTCACATGCTCATGTGCAAACAGACTGGCCTGGGAGTTGAACCTATTTTCACCTGGTCAGGAGTCAGGGCTTAGCCTATGCTCATAGATACAATTTGTCCCTTCATCAACAGAGGGTTCCTGCTCCAAACTAAAAGCCCTAATGTTACTTTCATTAGTAACTAAGGGGCAAGGGGCAGACTCAGGAGCTATAATGTATAAAGCCCGGAGCCCATGAGCCAGATGACAACTTGGGGAGTGGGAAGTGCTATAGATTCACTTGGTACCAGGGATTCACTCGATGCCAGGGCTTTCCTTCCTTCACTCTCTGTCTAGACTCCCCAGCTGTGGCTCAGGGGATACTCCAAAGGCACAGGAGCCAGAAGGAAGAGACACAGGCTACCCGGCCACACATACCGGGGTGGTGAGCTCTGGTGTGGTGATGGGGGTAGACGAGTTGTTCAGTTTTACCCCGCTGCCCAAGTCAAAGTCACAGATTTTCACTGGAGATACCTAAAAAGGAAAACATAAGCCAAGATCACAGGTATAAGGAACTACAGGGGCTATGTGCAGTGGTTCATGTCTGTAATCCTAGCAGTTTGAGAGGCAGAGGTAGGAAGATTGCTTGAGCCCGGGAGTCAGAGATCAGACTGGGCACCACAGTAAGACGGACCCTGTCTATAAAACATAAAAAATTAGCCAGATGTGGTAGCACGCACCTGTAGTCCAGTAAAGAGTGAGATCCATGGCTTGGTGCCTATAGCTCAGAGGCTAGGGCACCTGCTATATACACTGAGGCTGGCAGGTTCAAACCCAGCCTGGGCCTGCTAAACAATGACAACTACAACAATAACAACAAGAAAAATAGCTGGGCATTGTGGCCTATAGTTGGGAGGCTGAGGCAAGAGAATCGCTTTAACCCAAGAGTTTGACGTTGCTGTGAGGTATGACATCACAGCACTCTACCGAGGGAGACATAGTGAGACTCCGTCACAAAAATAAAAAAAAAAGGACCACAAAGCATAAGGAAGCCTGCATGACTGTCACTGCAAATGGCTTTATGGATCTGGTCATATTTGCTCTCCTTGGGTTAATGAGTAGTCCCCAGAGGACTTTTCCCAAGGTGTCCTCTTCCCCATGTTCTCTTATTTCCTAGCTAAGAGAAAAATGGGTATTAGATTGTCATGATCTTAATATAAACTAAGTATGGAACTCTGGCCAGCAAATAACGGTACAGGTTGTCTAAGATGGAAACTGGACAGGTTAATACATATTCCTGAAAGACAGGCTCCTCGCAGCCCATTCCATAGTAGCTAGGAGTAAAACCCTTGGCCATGTCAAGTGGCTTAGGGGGACTAATTCACTCTGGTTTGCTTGCTTGGGACTTTGTCAGTTTAAGCACTGAAAGCCCTGTCAGTTCTCAGAAAACTGGAATGGTGTTCACTCTAGGTGGCATCAACATAGCAGCCAAGCCCACCAGAAGCAGACGTTATGCCTGAAACCAAGACAGGATGACTCGAACCCAGAGCCATCCTGGAGGGCAGCTGGAGTGCACATGTAAGAATAGCCTCCATGGTGGAAGCAGCATAGAGGCGAAAATGCTGGTCTGTAACTTCCAGTTCCCCCATTTGCTGCTGGGAAGCCTGGACAAGTTCCTCAACTTCTTTCCTTCCTTCTTCCTCTCCCTCTTTTTTCTTCTTTTCTTTTTCACTTAGACCCTCTCTTTTCTACTGTATTAAATATAAACTATGTCTTTTTAATTATTATTTTTTAAGAAATGAGTCTTACTCTGTTTCCCAGGCTGGAGTGCAGTGGTGCAATCCTAGCTCACTGAAACCTTGAATTCCTGGGCTCAAGTGATCCTCAGCCTCCTGAGTAGCTGGGATTACAGTTGTACACAACCATGCCCAGCTCATCTGAGCCATTTTTAAGAATATATGAAAAACGTACACTTAAAAGTCATTGGCATTGGCTGTGCCTATAGCTCTGTAGGTATAGTGTCGGTCACATAAACCAAGGCTGGCAGGTTTAAACCCGGCCTGGGCCAGCTAAAACAACGATGACAACTGCAACAACAACAACAAAAATAGCCAGGCATTGTAGCAGGTGCCTATAGTCCCAGCAACTTCGGAGGCTGAGGTGAGAAACTTGCATAAGCCCAAGAGTTTGAGGTTGCTGTGAGCTGTGATGCCATAGCACTCTATCAAGGGTGACATCTTCAGACCTCATCTCAAAAAAAAGAGTCATTGGCATTAAGTGATCATTACCATTATCTGTTTCTAAAATGTTTCTGTAACTCCAATCAAATTCTTTTTTTTTTTTAATTTGGAACTAAAAAAAGGATTATGTCTATTGAGGACAAAGGGATGCAAACAAAGTAAAAAACAAAAGCTCATCTGGCATTTAATTAACTTTTTCTTCTCTGCTTGACAAATGGGAGCTGGATTTTATTTGTATATATTCTTTTTTTTTTTTTGAGACAGAGCCTCAAGCTATCCCCCCTGGGTAGAGTGCTGTGGCTTCACAGCTCACAGCAACCTCCAACTCCTGGGCTCAAGCGAGTCTCCTGCCTCAGCCTCCCAAGTAGCTGGGACCATAGGCGCCCACCACAACGCCTGGCTAATTTTTGGTTGCAGCCGTCATTGTTGTTTGGCGGGTCCGGGCTGGATTTAAACCCGCCACCTTAGGTGTATGTGGCTGGCGCCTTAGCCACTTGAGCCACAGGCACCGAGTCTATTTGTATACATTCTAAGGATCCTGATCTGCCCATGAAATCCTTAGCCAGGGGGAAGCTGTGGGACAGATGTCTGAAGCAGTCCTTTGAGAGAACACTTTTCAGGGCAGAGTAATTGCTCAGATCTGCCTACTTCTTTCCCTTCTGTTTCATGTGTACTGCAAAATAGTCGTTGCATGCGATGGTGAGGCCCGCAATCAGGGAAAAGCTGCTCTGGAAGCCACTTTGCCATCTCGGCACTGGTCCAGGTCCTTCATTATTTTGTCTAAGGCCAGAGGGTCTTTTTGATTTTCCAAAAATCCCGGCAACTCCTTCTCCATGAGCACTCTGAGGTCCTCCTTTGTTAAGTAGCCTTTATCCTTGGCAAATTTGTGAAATGTGAACATCCTGGTTTCTATGGCGTGCTCCATCTGAGATGGCATTTTGGTGAGGTCTACTGAAATCTGGGCGGAGAGGCTCCGCGGACGCTAGTCGGCTGGGACGCGGGACGGGGAACAGAGCGCTGCGGTCGGCGACTGGGTGCACGGGGCCGGAGCTCAAAGGGGGCGGTGCGGCCGCGAGAGTGGGAGGAGTCCAATCAGAAATTCTCTACTTGGCCTGGTGACCATAGCTCAGTGGTTAAGGAGCCGACCACATATACAGGGGCTAGCGGGTTTGAACCCGGCCCGGGCCTGCTAAACAACAGGGACAACTACAACAAAAAAATAGCTGGGTGTTGTGGCGGGCGCCTGTAGTCCCAGCTCCTTGGGAGGCTGGGGTAAGAGAATTGCTTAAGCCCAAGAATTGGAGGTTGCTGTGAGCTGTGACACTACAGCACTCTACTGAGGGTGAGACTCTGTCTCAAAAATAAAATAACTAAATAAAAAGAAATTCTATACTCATTAAATAATAACTTCCCATTCCTCTTCTCCCTGGTTTTAATTAGTAACCTCTAATCTACTTTGTCTTTATTAATTTGCCTATTCCAGATATCTCACATAAGCAGACTCATATAACATTTGTCCTTTTATGTCTGTCTTACTTCACGTAGCATGTTTCCAAGGTTGATCCATGTTGTAACATATATTAAAACTCCATCTTGTTTCATGGCTGAAAAATATTCAATTGTATGTGGGTACCACATTTTATTTATCTATGTCATCAGTTGATGGCCACTTGAGTTATTTCTACTTTTGTCTGCTGTGTATAATACTGTAATAAACATTAGTGAACAAACAAGTATTTGAGTCTCTGTTTTCAATTCTTTGGGGTACATACCTAGGAGTGGATTTGGTAATGCTGTGTTTAGCATTTTGAGGAACTGCCAGACTGTTTTCCACACTAGCTGTATCATTGTACATTGTCACCAGCAATCTATTAAGTTTCCAATTTCTCCATATCCTCACCAATGTTTGTTATTTTTCCATTTTTAAAATTATGGCCATCCAAGTAGATATAAGGAGGTATCTCACTGTGGTTTTGATTTGCATTTTCTTAATGACTAAGGATGCTCAACATCTTTTCATGTTCCTGTTCCATTTGTCTATCTTCTTTGGAGAAATGTCTGTTCAATCCTTTGTCCTTTTTTTTTTTTTTTTTGGCCAGGGCTGGGTTTCAACCCGCCACCTCTGGCATATGGGACCGGCACCCAACCCTTTTGAGCCACAGGCGCTGCCCACCTTTGTCCATTTTTTTAATTGGATATCTTCTTGTTGTTGAGTTTTAAGAGTCCTTTACATATTTTGGACATTAAATCCTTCTCAGATACATTATTTGCAAATATTTTCTCCCATTCTCTTAATTTTAGTTTTTCCAACCATGAAAAGGGATTTATAAACTTGTGCCATGAAGATCAAATGAAACAAAGGCCATGAAAGTACACTATACATCAAAGATAACAGCAGGTAGTTAAGAGCCCCCATGGAAATCCAGGCTCTTCTCCTGACCGGCTGAGTGACTCTATACAAGTTTCTGACCCTCTCTGAGCTGCAGTGTCCTCATCCATAAAATGAAGATAATTAAATAATATCTACCTCACAGTATTTAAAAATTACTAAATAAGTACCTAGCACAATATAGGCACTTAAGACATGTTAAATGTAATTAATAGAAATAATAATAATAAATTATAGGCCAGGTGCAGTGGCTCACACCTGTAATCCTAGCACTCTGGGAAGCCCAGGCAGTTGGATTGCCTGAGTTCAGGAGTTTGAGACCAGCCTAAGCAAAGTGAGACTCCCATCTACTAAAAATAGAAAAACTAGCCAGGCATTGTGGCAGGTATCTGCAGTGCCAGCTACTTGGAAGGCTGAAGCGGGAGGATTGCTTGAGCCCAAGAGTTTGAGGTTGCTGTGAGCTATGACACTATAGTTCTCTACATAGGATGACAGAGTAAGACTCTCTCTCAAAAGAAAAGAAAAATTATAAAGATCTATGCCAGACCAGTGACAGGAGGTCACACGATCATCTTTGACCTTATCCATTATTATTCTCCACAGAAGAGTGTGAGAAGTCAGTGGATTCACATATTCGCTCCCAGACCCCCTTATTTATGAGCCATAGCTTCGTCCAGACCAAGATACACATACTCTTGCATACATACATTTGTGTGTACATACAGAGGTGAATGTGGGTCCTCACACCACCAGGGCCTAAATCCTTTCTATTAAAAACAGAACTTGTTAGATTCATACACTCTTACGGACTTGCAAATACTTCCACTTACTAGTAGATTGAGTTAAAGCAACATTTAAAATAGGTTGAATTTGTTCAACACTAAATATGTTTTCTTTTTCATGGGCACCTTTGGAAATAAAAATGGGGACGGTAGTCTTTTTCAAGAACCTGTTCCTGTTTCTTCCAGTGGTAGACAGCATCTGGTGTGTACACAATAACACAGTCATAGGTAGAGATCTGTGGCACATAAGACTGAGGTGATGGTGACTCTTACCATCTGCCCTAAAGGTAGCTGCATTTTGCGCAGGTTTCATATTCTACAAACTCTGACTTAAGCCAAACACACTGATGATGAAGAGGACAGAAGGGACGAGGATTAACGCCACTCGGATCCTATCAACATATTAGGTGTGATGCTCTCATGTGTCTGTGCTCAGCATTTCAAGCTGGTACCTGGGGCCATGAGAATGGCTAAGAACCCACACTGAGAGCAAGGGTGGCTTCCCAGATCAGTATAAACTGTAGCAGCCCAAGTCAAGCCTGAAGTACCTTTTCTGGAGATTCACACAATATATTTTCTGGCTTCAGGTCACGATGAGCAATGCCTGAAATGACAAAGAGCAAAGAAATGGTTAACATATGCACGTAATTATCAAAACATTCCACACACAATTAATTTTTCCAAATGCTGCTGTTCACAGATTAATTCCCAATTATGGTACATTAAAAAATCAACGAGCTGCAGGAGGCACAAGTAACCAGAGATACAAACCAAAAGCAAGTTGTTTTGAAGCAGAGGCTTTAGAAGTTGGGCAGGGATAAGAAGGGCCAAGTGAATCCCAGCGAGCCAACCTCTCAGCACCACAGTGACCACCAAGAATAAGAAAGCCTAATACAAAGCAGAGCCGAGAGCCCTGCAAATGGCAATGCTTGGAACAGCAATGCAGAAATAATTAGCGCCTTGTTTAAGGGCATCTCAGGGGGCTTAGACTGCTCTACCTCATTTCTTCTTGTGTGGCCAATTAAAAAAAAAAATTCTTCAGTGTGACTCCTGCAAGTTCAGAGGAGCAAGTATTAGTTACCAGATCTCCCAAAGCTTATCCCATTCCCTCCTCCCCTGCTCTGCATGCCTATGGCAGCCCTGCCAATAGCAGACCAGGGACTGATTTGGACCAAGGGTACTGTTTTGGTTTTTTTGGTTTTTTTGGCCGGAGCTGGGTTTGAACCCACCACCTCCAGCATATGGAACTGGTGCCCTACTCTTTTGAGCCATAGGCCACCCAAGGGTACTGTTCTTAAGAGAAGATTCCCCTACACTTTGGCCAGGCCTTCTGAAGAAGATTGGATATAGTAGCCTACCCCATGAGGGATAAGCTTTTAACCTGCTGACCTGGTTGAGAAGGCAGCTGGGAGAACCTTCTTCTAACCAAAGAAAGGGACAAAGAATCAAGTCACAGGGTCATGGTGTTCTGGTGGAGGACACAGAAACCTCCCTTTCCTCTTTCCTTTGGCAGAGGCTGAGCAAAAGTCCAACAGCTACTGCTTGGAAGTTACTGCAAAGTGGCAAGGGACAACAAGGACAGGCAGAATCTGCTTATCTAAGGGAACACTTTTACACTTGGTGGGACTGCAAACTAATACAATCTCTTTGGAAGGACATATGGAGAATCATGAAGGAACTCAAATTAGACCTTCCATTTGATCCTGCAATCCTATTATTAGGCATCTACTCAGAAGAAAAAAAATCATTTTATCGTAAGGGCATTTGTACTAGATTGTTTATCACAGCTCAATTTATAATTATCAAGATGTGGCAACAACCTAAATGCCCACCAACCCAGGAAAGGTTTAACAAACTGTAGTATATGTACACCATGGAATACTATTCAGCCATTTAAAAAGATGGGAACATTACATCTTTTGTATTAACCTGTATGGAGTTGAAACATATTCTTCTTAATGAAGTATCACAAGAATGGAGAAGAATCCAATGGACCCAATACTAATATTGGGTAGATGATCTAATACACGCCCACATAAGAGAAAAACTCATTTCAATTAAGGATGGTGGGAGGGGGAACAAGGGAGCTGAGAGAGGGTAGGAGGGAGGGGGATGGGTGTGCTCCCACTTAATGGGCACAATGTTAGGGTGTATGGTACACCTCTTGGAGGTAGAACACAATTATGAGAGGGACTCTCCCTAACACATGCAAACATTGTAACCTAACTCTTTGTACCCTCAAATTAACCTGAAACAATAATTAGAAAAAAAAAGAATTTGCTTCTTAATAACTCCCTCAATGATCAACTTCTTCCCTGCTGGAAGGCAAAGGCCCAGCCCCGGCCACCCGAGGCACCTCACTGGAGAAGCAAACCAGAGCTCCATGGAGCTCAGTAACTTCATCAGTCACCTAATTGAATGAGAACCCAGAGCAACTCAGTCCAGGCTGCACAAATTGAGTCGGGCTGCAGCTCGCCACACTAGAAGTGAAAGATATTTTCCATTATGGCAAGTGCTCCCACAGAAGGATCACGAACCACGCACAGAGCCTTACTTTCCAAATAGGTGCCTGTGGCCCAGTTGTCCTGTAGCCTGAGAACTCAGAGAGCCCAGCTGTAATAATGGATCTGCTGCTGTGAGCACACTGGCCATCGAGCTGCTCCGGTTCATTTCCCAGAGGTTAAGCTGCGGTGTGTCCAGTATTTAAAAGTATGGAACTTGTTTCAGGCCTGACTCATTCTTGCCCAATTCATCTTCCCAGTGTGAAGTTATTTAGAAAACAGCCAAGTTCAGCTGGAAATCGTTTTTCATCCCCTCCAACTTCTAGTCACACGGGCAGCTGGCCAGCTAGAAGTTAACAAGCACTTTGGACCCCCTAAGACATCACCAGCCTCTGTTCCCTTTAGTACATTCTTGTGAATAAATAAATAAATAAATAAAAAATAAAACCGCCTTTACCACCTCCTCCAAGGTATGGATCTGGTAAAAAGCGTGACCCAGTTTTGCAATCTACAGAGGCAGCTTGGGGAGCAGTTGTAAATCTTTGTCAGGCAGGTGTTACCTACATGCATCCCAGCTTTCAGAAACAGAACTGCTGCTATTCATCATGCTGTGGAAGGTACAGACCCCCCCCTTTCTAGGAGTTTTCATTGTAGGTGCAAGTTAGGACCCCAACACGGACATTGTCAGTGTGCAGAGCTCTTTCAGCCACTGGAGGAAAGGAGGTGGGGTCAAGGAACCTGAACCTCCGGCATACTGGCCATGCTAGCACTAGACTGCCAGCCCAGCGTCAGATACGCGAGCGGTATGCCTGGGACTGATTCTGAGTACCCACAGCTATTGTTGCTGGCCAATGCCCATGACAGTGGGGAGAGTAGACAAATTATTTGCTCCCCCTGCCCTCCCACCCCACCAGGCAGAATACTTTAAGGGATCTAATGTTAGGAACAAAAATGCTTTCTGCCTAGTAGGGGATGGAGGATGGAGGAGATAACATTTGTTGATGAACTACTGTGTGCCAGGAACTATGCTCCATCTATGCGGACACATACAACATGAAAGACAGACACCACTATATAAACCAATTTGTACCTCTATAAGGCTTAGAATGGCACCTAGCTCATAACAAGTGCTGTGTGTGGTAACTACTGTGGATGATGTCATTCCCTCCCTCAGCTCTCACTGGGGCAGGCATTATTATTGACAGAGCACACTGCTGGAAGGAAGGTTTTCTCTATGCACTGCAGGGAGGTAAAATTTTTTGAATGTATGTAACAAACATTTATGGAACTACAAAAACACTTAATTTACAAAAAGACTACAAAAGTTCTTGAGTAATCAATCCTAGGAAAGGGGCTGTAAACCAAAGTGGAATTCAAACAAAGGCAGCTGGCTAGTTACCTCTCTGATGTTCAACAGATGCCTCCAACTTACATATTAATAGAAAAATGCATTTTTCATTTCCTGTGAATGAGACATATAAAACTATATATATCCCATCATGCCAGTTTTGAAAAGAGAGATACAGGTGATGTATTTTTAAAGACAAGAAGGAGTAACACTGACATATTTATACTAGAATGGCTATATTGTGCATGAGTTTTATATTCTTCACCAGGAAAAGGAGCACAGTTTCACACACACACACTCAAACACATCTTGTTCAATGTGAAATTTCTTCTTTTTCCTCCCTGCTCTTTCTCCTATACCCCTATCCTGCTTAGTAGCTCCACCTTCTACCCTCCATCCACAGCAGAGGCCTAGGAGCACCCTGGAAGGCTGTGCCTGCCCCGCCCCTACTCTGGGTGAGCACATTCAAACCACCATGGCCTGGACAAAGCCCTCTGCCTGGCTGTCCCCTTCCCTGGGGACCCAGAGGCTGGCCAGCCCAAGCTACCCACCAAAGCCAAGGTTTGGCTCACCTTTGGTATGCAGGAAGTCAAGGGCAGCCGCAACATCCCGCACCACTCGGCTGGCTTCTCGCTCGTTGAAGTGCTTCTGCTTCTGGATGTGGGCAAGGATGGAGCCTGGGGAGCAGAAGAAACACAGAAGAATGCCGTTCCAGGCTTTAGTAAGCATAACTTCTTAGAGGCCACGTTTTCATAGGCTTGGGGTGGGGACATAGATTTATTCATTGCTAAATGTCCAGCAATATGTGTGGTGCCTGGCACAGAGAGGGGCCAGCATGTGTCTGGTGAACAGAATCAGACTTGTCTCTTCTGTACCTATCTATGAGGAACTCAGATGGGAGAGAGAACGACTATTCATATAGCCAAAAAATGTTAATACTCTGGGGCTGATTCGGCTTCTAAGACCAAAAGGGCTAAAAATAACAGCTCGTGGAACTGATGGGACCTCTCTGTAGGAAAATTTTCTCCTCTCCATCTCATCTCATATCCAAAAAAGAGCACCTGCCTTCAAATGGAAATGCCACACCCTTACCAGATTTGCTGGAAAGAGGGAAAACTGCTTTTTGCTTTGAGCTTTCCCACTTACTCATGTTATTATTTTGTTGGAAATGGCTAATACTTAATGAGTAGTTAATAGTGCCAAGCACTATGCCATACTCTCGAAATAAATTGTCTTATTCTCACCACACCTGTACATGATGGGTAGTACTGTCATCCTCATTTTATGGAAGGGGAATCTGAAGCCAAAATGGTTAAGTAATGTGCCCAACTTACAGACCAGTAAGTGGTGAAGCAAGGATGTGGGATCAGTACAGTCAGGCCTCAGAGTCTGTACAGACTTATCCTTAGTAGGACTTGTGATCTGACTGCAGAGGGGATGGATATCCTGAGCCACATATTCTCTTTATCCCTGGGTCTGGCCTGTGTAGGATTATGCTATGTGATACAGACACGGCGGAAGCCCAACTGCATCTATCATTTCAAACGTGTCCCAGGTTGTTGGGCAGTGTGGGGGCAGACACAGGCCTGAACTTATGGCTTGTCTTTAAGTGGTCTATACTCACTACTGGAATCCAGCATTTCTTAGCCGAGGGCACCATCTCTATGTCCTAAAAAGGGTACTTGTTTACTTATTATAGGTTTTTTTTTGGCAAAGGGAGGGGATGAGAGAAGAAGGGAAAGAATTGCTAAGGATCTTTTACTTGCCAAATTGAACAATCAAAGGATCCCAGTATGCTAGGGAACTTTTCCAGAAAAGCAGCCCCTGACTAGGCCCTAGCTTGCTCTGCTGTAGTGAGACTCTTGTTTCCAAATTTGTTAAAAGGAAAGGCAGAAAGTAATATTCTACAAACGTCTAAGACAGTCCCCAGCACACTCAATTGTTGTAATCATATTAACAGCTGACATTTATTGAATCCTTAGTGCCTTCTGGGCACTGTGCTAAGTATTCCATATGGATTGTCTCATTTAACCTTCACCTCATGAGGTAGGTGCTATCAGTATCCCTATTTTATAGGTAAGAGTACTGTTTGGAAAAGGTTAAGTGACTTGCCCAAGGTCACAAGGCTGGTAGAGATGGAGCTAGACTAAAGTTTAGCTGTATTAGTTTCTTTCCTATTTAAAATAAAATTAATTAATTTATTAAAAAATTTTTTTGTTTGTTCTTTTGCAGTTTTTGGCCGGGGCTGGGTTTGAACCCCCCACTTCCGGCATATGGGCTGGCGCCCTTACTCCTTTGAGCCACAGGCACTGCCCTATTAAAAAAAATGTTTTAGAGATAGGGTCTCACTTTTTTGTCCAGGTTAGAATGTAGTGGCGTGATACAACTCACCATAGTCTCTAACTCCTGGGCTCAAGAGATCCTACTACCTCAGCCTCCCTCATAGCTGGGACTATGGTGCGAGCCACTGTACCCAGCCTGGTTGGCTTCTAAAACCAGCCCCTCTGTGTAGCCCTCTGCTCAGCTCTAGACATCCCTGAATCCTTTACCTTGCAAGTTCGTCCTAGGGTTGGGGGAGCGATGGGAAGAAAAGGGCTTCTCTGTCCCCTTCATTATGTCAGAAAAGCAACTTAAATATACACCCAGTGATTGTGTGGGGGGGTGGCGGCACTTTTCCATCTGAAGGATGGCACAGTCTCAGGCCTCCCCTTCATACTGGGTCTGTGTTCCAAACAATGGGACCCTCCTTCCCTCCATTTTAGCCTTTCTAGCCTTCACACTGTATTTGAGAGCTTCTACCCCATAATTAATTTAAATGGTGAAAGTGTCAAAACAGGGGATTGATAAATCGATGACTAAATGTATCTATATATGACTCCTATTATAATGAAAAGGCATTTATAAAATGCCCACACAGGTGACATTCTAAGCTCTGCAAAATGCTAATTATCATCCTTCCCTCCGGCCTCCCTTCTCCCAAATCAAGGGCAGTTTTTAAGTCCTTCATCCTTTTTATTAGCTTGACTCGTTTTAGAAGTCTCTGGGATTCATGATGGATGATCACCAGCCAGCGTCTTAATCAGAAGTCCAAACACATACTCGATAGTAAGTACCTCCTTGCAATTTCTCAAAGACCAAGTAAAACCTTGTGTCATCTTCAAAGAACTCAATCAGCTCCAAAATGTTCCTTAAATAGCGAAAATAAGAGAAGAGGGAAAAGGGGGGAAATGGTGTTATGTATTAAAGGCTACTTACTTACAAATATACAACAAAAAAATACACAATACCCTATAGCGGGGCAGAAATCAACTTGAAATCAGAATGCTTATTAAAGACCCACGTGTGGAAGCAGCCAATGGTGTTAGCAAGATTCAGGTCACCTTATCTTTCCATAATGTTTAGTCTCTGGTGTTTTCACCAAGTCTGTGCTGTCAAACCCCAGCCCTAAAACCCACTAGGTAGAGTTATAAAAAAGTCCCGGTCACATTAAACTGAATAAAATCTGCAGCGGACTGGAAGCAATTGCGGCTAATAACACTGAATAGTAGGTGTGTGTCCTGGAGGCAAGCAGCAAATAATTACTTGCCCTCCCTCTTGCCCATAAATCACGGGGCAGTATTTACATTGCCTGGAGAAAATGGAAACATCTGTCAAATAGACTTGGGGCTGAACGTGGGCACCGCTAGACCCTAACTGCTAAGCGCTGCTTAATGAAACGGCCGCGTTCCTGGCCACCGTAGCACTTGTGGCCTTCCCCGGTGAGCACTCTCTGTCTGCCTGAGTATTTCAGTGCTCTGCCAACAAGGTCGTCTTGTAGCTCAGTAGGGAAGCCACCAGCCTGGATGTTGGAGGTGTTGGGGGCTTTTTTTCCTTTTAAAGAACAAAATAAACCAAGTAGAGTCTCTAATGCTGAACTAAGAAGCTGTAGGGCTGAAAATAAAAACCTGTTCCTCATAAAAAACTGCTGACCACTTTGGGAGATACTAGGTTTTTATTAGTGTGAAGGCGTCCAAATAAGATGGGCGAAATGGCCTAATTTGAAAGAAGATTGTAGAGGCAGTGCCTGGAGTTAAATCAACAGCAGCCCTATCCCACAAGCTTAATGACAAAGCCATCAATACCAGGCCACTGGCTCCCTGCTGACCCTGCCATGGAGGGAAAGAGAGGGGGAAGCAGAGTCTTGGAGGTGACCCTGATTTAAAGCCACAGTGGGAGAGACGCTCATTTGGAACTGGTCCTGGCAGATCTAGAGATTACCTTGGCCCAGTTATCAAGAAGAGTGTCAGACTAGGTTTTAGGACTTTAGCAGTATCTGCACCTATGCAAACATGCTAGACAGAAAACAGCCACAAATATCCTAATAGTTTGCTTCATCCTCATCTCAATATTAAAGGAGGGCCCTAAAGATTTTACCAGGCAACACTTAGCTTAGTTTCTACAGGTACTTGAAAGAAACAAACCCTTATTTTTTCCCCAAACCCACACTGATTCAGACTGCTCACTCTCAAATTTGCCTGAATTGCTGATATTATAGCATTTCAGAAGAGAAGAGATCACAGCTTCTTTGCTGTTACTGCTTCCTCTCCACTCACCCACACTGGGAGATGGAAGGAGTCACAGGAGTAAGAGCAAACTGCTGGGGTCAGGAGATGGTAAGAAATAACCTCCTTGTGTGTGGCTAAGCATCCCCCAGAGAAGCAGCAAGTAACCCCATTCTCTACTCACTTGTTTCCTTGACACTGATAGAGCGTCTCCACCTCTCGAAATACCCTACTCCGACTGTGCCCTGCTTGTTTTTCAATGATCTGTGGGAAGAATAAAATCTGTCATGTACACCCACCTGAATTCAAAATTGCCCCTCAGCAGCAGCCCTCGGAGAGATGCAAGCCCAATTCAGACCAAATCCCGGCTGGAGCAGAAGTCTGGAGTGGGCCCTGGAGACACAGGCACTGTGGCTCTGTCAGCAAACCAAGAGAGTGGCCCGAGGGCTTTCCAGCCAGTTGACACTCCGGCCAACCACAACACCAAGGAAGTGTTTGAGGCTGCTGCCCCCAGCTGCCCAGGGAGACTGAGGCAGCCAGTGAGACAAAGAACATTCCACTCAGCTCCTACTCCTGAAGGCACTCACCACCTCTGCTGAAAGATCTTTTAGGAGTGGACAGGAGCTAAAGCTTCGAGGCCCAGCTCAGATGCTGCCTCTGCAATCTCCTCCAGCAGAAGCATATTTCTTCCTCTTCTGGGAACTTACTCTTTGGCAGTACTTAATATATAAAGTAATTTATTTACAGGGGCTCAGTTAACCCTTACAACAACATCAAGAGATAGGAAAGTGTGAAACCTCTGTCCACAGCCCAGAACTGATCCCAAAGCCCATACTACCCTACACATGCCCAGACCCTGCACAGCTTCCTAGAGCATCCAGAGGCTTGTCTCTCCCATGACACTGCACTGCTCCCTCCACCCTCCACTTGAAGATGCTTGGCAAATGCTCACTGAAGGAATAGATAGGCCAGCAGATGAGCAGATGGTTTATACAGGGACTGGCTGCCTCCGAAAACCTCTCTGGACCCATCCAGAGCTTCAAACCATTGCAAATGTAGTAAGGTTGTGCCTCACGCCCCCATGTGCAAAGCACAGCACAGACGATCACATCCTGCTACAGAGAACACTGCAAACTTCTCTAGTATGTTTGTAGCACAAACAACCATGACCAACTATAATTTTCTAAATAAGTCTGCATCTGTTAGTAAACCACGGTGGGCCCATTTTCTGTGCAGAGGAGTATAGTAGTGTTGGAGAAAAGAAGCTGTTCAAAAGCAAGCTATTCACTAAACACTTCAAATCAAAGTCAGGAAGAACTTTTTAGCAGGCAAACTTTCCACCACAGTTCTCTCTAAGGAGGCAATGGACTCTTGGTGCTAGCAATGGGGGAGCAGGACATGGATGACTGTTTCAGATTATCCTAAAATTCCACTCCAGCCCTAAGACTCTAGGATTCCCTGCTGCATGCCACACTGGAAGAAGCAGCCCACCCTTAGGGGGCTTTCAAAGGATAGAGACATGGGAAGACCTTCTGACACCAAAGAATTGCCAAGCTAGGGTCCAGGGTTAGCCCAGAGATGCCAGGGACATGTGGATAGAGGCCCAAGTTTTCCTTCTGTGATCCAACCTTGAAGAAACAGATCTCCCTCATCCATACATGAGTTCAAACCTTTGAAAATCAATGTATGATTTTGTGGTTTTGCCACCCTTAGGGCTATTTCTTTAAAAATACTTGTAATTTACACTAATCTGATTCTAAAAATAAATGAAGACAGCTCTTCTGTGAGCAGGTGAAACAATACTCCACCAAAAAGGAACATGGCTTAGCAAAAATTTCTCCTTTATAACCCACAGCTGGGACTGAGGAAAGCTGGTCAGAAGAGAGACATTTCTTTCAGAAGTCACTCTGGCTGGTGAGCCTGTAGGAGGCTGTGCTTTGACCAGGTAGCTCAGATGGATGTTCTGCTGAAATGAAAGCCTGAATTGTCCCCTTGGATCTAGTAAGACATTTTCTTTAGATCAGTGGCCTCGAACTCTGGTGAGTATCAGAATCACTATAATAGATCCAGCCTAGGCTGGGCGTGGTGGCTCATGCCTGTAATCCTAGCATTCTGGGAAACCAAGGCAGGTGGATTGCCTGAACTTAGCCTGAGCAAGAGTAAGACCCTGTCTCTACTAAAACAGAAAAAATCAGCAGGGTGTCATGGTGGGTGCCTGTAGTCCCAGCTGCTCAGGAGGCTGAAGGAGGAAGATCTCTTGAGCCCAAGAGTTTGAGGTTGCTATGAGCTATGACACCACGGCACTCTACCCAAGGGCAACAAAATGAGACTCTGTCTCAAAAAAAAAAAAAGGAAAGATCTAGCCAAATTTCACATCGAGAAGCCTGGAGCTCTGGGCTCTGTTACGTTTCTGGGTGACTGTGATATACACTAAAGTCTAAACCAGGCATCCTCAAACTACGGCCCATAGGCCATATGCCTAGGACATTTATCTGGTCCACCAGGTGTTTTTTTCCCCCACTGCCTGCCCTGCTTAGTAGCTGACTCATCCTGGGGCCCGCAGTCCAGCCCTCCAATGGTCTGAGGGACAGTGAACTGGCCCCCTATTTAAAACGTTTGAGGACCCCTGGATCACTCTACCTATGTCAGTGGTTCTCAATGTCGAATGAGTTAAGTATCAGAATTACCTGGGAAGCTGGTTAAAATTCATGTTGTTGGGCCCATCTCTAGTTTCTGACTCAGGAGGTCTGGGATAGGGCCAGATAACTTGTACTTCTACCAAGCTAACAGGCAGTGTTGCTGCTGGCATAGGAACCAAATTTTGAGAACCATGTTCTAGATCACTGATTTTTTTTTTTTTTTGTCTTTCTTTTTAGATCACTGATTTTTAACCAATGCGCTGTGACACACTGGTGTGCCATGAGAGGATCTTAGGTGTGCTGTGAACATTTTTAAAGAAGTTCAAGGCATAGTAAGTATGTTCTTTTTTTCACTTTTTTTTTTGAGACAGAGTCTCATTATGACACCCTCGGTAGAGTGCTGTGGTGTCACAGCTCACAGCGACCTCAAACTCTTAGGCTTAAGCAATTCTCTTGCCTCAGCTTCCTGAGTAAGCTGGGACTACAGGCGCCTGCCACAATGCCCAACTTTTTTTTTTTGCAGTTGTTTAGCTGACTAGGGCTGGGTTTGAACCTGCCACCCTTCGTGTATGTGGCTAGCACTGTAACCACTGTGCTATGGGCACTGAGCCCACTCTTTTTTTTTTTTTTTTTTGATCAACATAATTTAAGTGTGCTGCAGAAGTTTAACTACAGATTCAAGTGTGCTGTGAAACTAAAAATAAGTTAAAAAACACTGTTCTAGATCCAGGCCTCCTTCCACATAGAGTAAGAAAATGGAAGCACTGAGGTGGAAAATAGGGGGCAAATGAGCCACTCCAAGGTCATGCAGCACGTTAAAGTCCACGGGAGGCTGGAAGCCACTTGTACTGCCCCAGAGCTGAGAGCTCGTCACTCCAGTTTTTAATCCTCATTGTCATAAGAACATATTATCACTTGAATACATATGCTGATAGCATTTTGCAATCTGTAAAGTGCTCCTGTCTCTATCAGTGCATTTTTTTTTTTTTTTTTTGCAGTTTTTGGCCGGGGCTGGGTTTGAACCTGCCACCTGTGGCATATGGGGCCGGCGCCCCTACTCCTTTGAGCCACAGCCACCGCCCATGTTTTTTATTTTTTGAGACAGTTTCACTATGTCGCCCTCAGTAGAGTGCTATGGCATCACAGCTCACAGCAACCTTAAAGTTTTGGGCTCAAGCAATTCTCTTGCCTCAGCCTCCCAAGTAGCTAGGACTACAGGCTCCCACTACAACACCTGGTTATTTTTTGTTGTAGTTGTCATTGTTGTTCAGCTGGCCCAGGTTGGGTTCGAACCCGAAAGCCTCCGTGTATGTGGCTGGTGCTGTAACCACTGTGCTACGGGCACCAAGCCTATGAGTGCTTTTTATTTTCTTTCTTTCTTTTTCTTTTTTTTTTGAGACAGAGCCTCAAGCTGTCCCCCTGGGTAGAGTGCCGTAGCATCACAGCTCACAGCAACCTCCAACTCTTGGGCTCAAGCGAGTCTCCTGTCTCAGCCTCCCAAGTAGCTGGGACCACAGGTGCCGGCCACAACCCCCGGCTATTTTTTGGTTGCAGCCGTCATTGTTGTTTGGCGGGCTGGGGCTGGATTCGAACCTGCCACCTTAGGTGTATGTGGCTGGCGCCTTAGCCACTTGAGCCACAGGCGCCGAGCCGAGTGCTTTTTATCTTCATCTTCATAACTACCTCATGATGCAGAAAGGACAGGTATCACCATTTAGAGATGCAGAAACTGAGGCTTAAGGAGGTTTAAATGACTTGACCAAAGGCAAATAGTAACAGTTTGACAAGAGAGAAATTCAGGTTGGCTTGCTAATTCCAAATCTTGTTGTCCACTCCCTGAAGCTAACTTCATTTGTCAGAATAAGTGGACTATGAGCCAGGCATTGTTCTAAGCACTTTACACATATTAACTTATTTAATCCTTATGACAATTCTATATAGGTTCTATCATTACACCCATTTTACAGATGAGAAAACTGAAGGACAGAGAGGTTAAGTAACTTGCCCAAGGTAACAAGGCAAGCAAGCAAGTAGAAAAACCAAGATCTGAATCCAGTGAATACAGCTTTGGAGCTTCCATTCTCATGGAATATAAAATTTATTTGACTAGGCCAGCTGCGGTGGCTCATGCCTGAAATCCTAGCACTCTGGGAGGCTGAGGCAGGTAGACTGCTTGAGCTCAGGAGTTTGAGAGCAGGCTGAGGAACAGCAAGACCCCATCTCTACTAAAAATAAAAAAACTAGCCAGGCATTATGGTGGGCACCTGGAATCTCAGCCTTTTGGGAGGCTGAGGCAAGAGGATTGCTTAAGCCCAGGAGTTTGAGGTTGCTGTAAGCTATGATGCTACATCAATCTGCCCAGAGTGACACGTGTCTCAAAAAAAAAAATTATTTGGCTTGAGATAAGCTAGGAATGACCCTTTGCAAAGCAGCCTGGCACTCAGATGGGACACTCACTTTGACAGCATACTCTTTGCCATTCTGGAGGCTCACGGCACCTTGAACTTTGGCGTAGGCTCCCTCTCCCAGCAATTCAGAGGTCAGCTTATACACATCTAGAGGTGAAATGGGTGAGAGGAATAATGAGATGTGCCACCCCATTGCAAGCTCAGAGGGGATGAGGAGTATCTGTCACTCAGCATCCTCAGTCAGAGAACACAGGCACCTGCTGAGGCTGCAGCAGTCAGGGACAAGGAGTTCACGTTATCTTCTCAGCCACCTCAGCACTCAGTTTCTCACAAGACCACACGGAAGGCACCTTGTTCTCGTTTTAGACACGAGACCAGTGAACAGATTTCAATTTAGCACATGCTTCCTGGGCACCTACTATGTGCTAGAGAACATACAGAGACAGGGTGAGCAATAAAATATAGTTCCTCCCCTATAGAGTCACAGTTGAGTGGAAAAGACAAACGCAGTGACCCCAGAATGAACCAGACACTACCAAGTACTATCACAGAGGGACAAAGTTTAAAAAACAAAGCAGGGGAAGGAAGATGTTAAATTTGTCCAGGGAATTGGGAGTGTCCTCAGAGAAGGGGTGCAATTTGAATGAACATCATTCATTGACTCATTTGCTGAACACCTACTATGTGCCAAGCTCTGTGCTAAGCACTGGTGATACTGAAGGGAATAAAACACTGTTCTAATTTGTACCACATAAAAAGGAAGTCATTGGATGTTTCTGAGAAGTTTCCAGAAGTCACCTACAGGAAATAAGAGACAGACGTAGGACGCAAAGGGTGCCTTGAGATTTTTAAGGTACTGACTCATAGTGGTTCTAGCAGAGTAATAAGCCTGGCTGAAAGAACATGTAGGTGACCAGCCCAAGCTCACAAACAGCACAGCTCTTGGAGCCCCTTCCAAAGGAAGCCACGTCTCCATCATGGCCCTTGCCGAGCTGACCCATCCTCCTCCACTCTGCAGACTGTTCTTCATGAGGCAGCCTTGCATTTAAACCCACAGCCTGAGCAGACTGGTAAACCATGGAATTAGATTTTATCACTGTTAGTCAAAAGTCCTGCCATTGCACAAGTGGTCCTTAAATAACAGGAAATATTCTCTTGTGTTCAATGAAAAAGCAAAAGACCTGTTGATCTGGAAACTATCCTTAAACTGTCAGGACTTTTGTCTGCCCTGCCCTGTTCCCACCCTCCCACCATACACACATCTACTGTTTGAGTTAAAGACAAACAAAAACACTCTGCACGAAGCCCCTTCTTGGTTCCATCGTGGTCTTACAGCTGCTCACAGAACAGATGGCACACTGTGAGTGTTTTAAATAACATACTTCTCTCCCAGCGGACGCTTTGGTATTAGCTCTTTATACATACCAGAATAGGTAGATGGCTCAAGGTCCAATATTCCTGATTCATAAAGGACTTGTTATTAGAACCACCTACAGAACAATCAACTCACTAGTATGTCTGCAAGGCTGGAAAGAGGGACCATGAGGGGAAGCTATTTCAGGTCTCATGATGAAAGAAACAAAACAGATGGAGGGGACGTGTTACTCTTAGAAGTGGCTACTGATCCTTTTGGTCCTTTGCAGATGTGTCCAGTGACTCACTTCACCTATCACATGCCCAGTGATAAGAGGACCAGCACTGGCCTAGTGTCGTGCACGTAAAACATCCAAAACTGGCTGATGACGCAACAGCGTGTTCCCTGACCGCAATATGCACTCTTTAAAGCAGAGTCAGACACATACAGCACAAGTAGCTGCAATCTCTGAGGCACATTCTCAGCCATGAGCAGCCATGACCTTCATGTTTCTTCCCCTCGTACGTGGCTGCTCTACCCCTCAGCAGCCCTGCAGGAAAAGCTGAGGGAAGAGTCACATCTGACAAGGAGCTGGGACACCACAGACATGTCACTCCATCTATGACTGGAACAGATTTATCTTACAGCCCACTGATGAGGTACTCAAGACACCTGTAGAGGCCAGTGTGTCATCTGAGAGCTTTCCCACTCTGGCTCTCTGTCGCCCCCCCCCCCCATGAACTCCTTCATCCCATCTTTCCTCTCTGTCACACAGATAACATCAGCTGGCTCTGAGATGTCTGGACCCAAGGGCTAAGGGGAAGCTCCTCCCAGACTTGGGAGCCACAGGCCCAGATCTAGGAGTTGTGTGAACGACCTTCAAACTTCCCTGGTGAGGAGTCAGTGGCCCGGGCCTTCCGCTTCTTCTTCTTCCTCTTGTCACCCTCTGCGATGGGAAGGGGCTCGCTGCTGCCCATCTCTGGGAGATAAGAGGACATGTAAGGGAAACATCACTGTCCCAGTCAAGCTATAAATTTACGGAAAAAAAGGTGGGTGGGGAGGGGGGTTGGGGAACCCAAGAGGAGCTTTACACTGATGGTTTTTAAATATCTGTGAAGACTATTGATTTGTTTTGACCCAGGAAGGAAAACTAAAGGCAAAATCATTATAGGAGATCATTAACTGAGGAAAGGCGCTCAGACAGGCAGGCTAGATTAAAAGAGGACAGCAGAAGCCTGCTTTAACCAAGCTCATTAGCACATGGATTTAGATCAGCCACCAGTCAAACTATATTCCCCAAACAGAACAATGAATTTGTAAGTAGAACCCCACCTGGAACATCCTCCAGCCTCCTGCCAGAAAGGCAGGACCCTGGGAGGAGCTAGGCAAGGAGGAGGGTGGGAGTGGGGGCCATGCAGAAGAAATCCTAGGCTAAGGAATAACCTGGCTGCGTGCAGGGGTGCAAAAGGCCTGCAATGGAGGCTGCCTCTGTGAAGGTAACAATAGGGCTGGGGATGGGATTGAAATGGCTCTGGAGTACTTCATGTCCGGAAGCACAGATGTGCACCTGGGGAGTACACAGCATCCTCTCCCTCCCCACTCCTGGATTGGAAAGGTTGCAGGTAGGGCCCATTCAGAGGTCTGCCATTGACAGTTCTGCACCAGGCTGCTGGATGAGGTCACTTACTGCAAAAACATTATTATCTCTCTCTGGCAAGCACCTGGCTCCCCATCTTAAGGGGGGATTTGTGAGGCAGGCATTCAGACATTAGACAGATGGGTCAGGACAGAAAGAATAAGCAGGACACTGAGACAGGCAAGGAGAATAGGAGGAACAGTGAGCCAGTGCCCAGTCACAGTCCCATTTCTGAGACACTTTAGTATGGGCCTTCCCCTGTTAAAGATAAATTACTTATAGAACACGTCATGCCCCTGATCCAGAGTGGAGCCTTAATACTCTTTGCCTGCAGTTAGAAATAATAAGATTTCTCTCAAGTCTCTGGGTCTAAATCCCCACCAGAGTGATTAAACCTTTACATCCTTCTAAAATAGAGGCACTCGAGTGCTGATGGGGTGTGCGACGTGAGAGACTTTTAGACCAACCTTCAATAACACAGGCTCTGGGTTGTGGGGAGTTTTTTTCCTTCCTTTTTTATTTATTTATTTATTTATTTTTCTGAGAGATTTTAAAATGGAAGCTGGCTCTTTGCCCATGGAAGGGAAAGAAGGGAAAGGCCCACTCTCTTCTCAGAGGATCGGGCTGAACACAACCAGAGAAATGGCAAGTTTGCCAGGAAGACTGATTAGTGCTGAAGCACATCTGCACGCTGTTCAGAGCCAAGTATGCAGCAGCCATCAGGAGAAAGCATACAGAAGGGCGGGCGTTTTCAACACCACAATCCAGGAAGCAGGGGTAACCAGCCAAGTGTCTGCCAGCCCAGTTTAGCTGATTCTTCCTCCATTTTGGGGAAGCTCATAACAGAGGATTTTCAATTATACTTTAGAACAGAGAATAGATAAACACTTGGATAATCCACATAGGATCTCAAAATATTACTCTAGCTAACTGCAACACTCTAAGAATTCAAAGAATTAAATTAACCATCAGCACTGAAGTATCAAAACACCCACCCTTGCCAAGGTAATTAAAGGGAAAAAAGCTGCTCAAATGTATTTACTGAACATAGGGAGAAATTCTACAGAAATAAAACCCAGGGTCACTCATCTCCAGAAGCTTAGGGAGGGGTCCCTGGCCTCAGGGGCTGCAGGCCGAGAAGCTGAGACCGCAGCTCCCCTTGCTCCGATTCTGTGTGCAGTCCAGTGGCAACCCTTGTCCCCATCTATTTTCTCATCAGCACTGCAGGCCAAGTGCACAGCACACAGATTTGGCTTCGGCTCCTCCCCCTCCCCTGTCCACACTCTGATGGAGGGCCTAAGGACAAGCAAGACAGCCAGAGGCAGGCAGCACAGAGGAGCAGCACAGCTGGCAGCGTTACAATTCACAGGGGATGCTCAGATACACTTACGACTCCAACTAGAAAACCCTGTTAGCGACAATTTATACTTGGCTTTTACCGCAGCAGGGCTGAGGGGGCCTTCTGGGCAAGAAGCATACCTCCGAGCACGCCGCACACTCAATATTAGATTTTACGGTTTCACACACAAAAAGATAGAGTACCTGGTCTATTCTGCATGGATTTCAGTGGAAGAGGATACGCCAGAAGGGCCAAATGGTTAAGACTTCCCTTGGAAACAGAACTTGTTGAAGGAGAGTTGTTTTTGAAACTAGGAAGGAAAAATGTAGGAAGATGTTGAAGTGAGAGAGACGTGCCTAACTTCCCTGTCTACACGTGGAGGGAGGGAGCAGTGTCGTAATTTCAGCAAGGGGTTGAGGGTTCCCCATCTGCAGCCTGGCCACACGCTCTATTTCCTCGCAGAATACACTAGCAGTAGGACTAGCACTAGACTAGTAGGTCTGTGGGACCTGAAGTCAGCGTGTGATTGCCCCCCAGATAAGTGCTTCCTCAGGCTGTGAGGCCCCACAAGCAGGCTGCACCTTGGCTCACCTGGGTTCCTAGCCCTCAGGTTTCTTCTAGGCTATCAAAACCCAGCTCAACCTTCCCCACCCCTTTGTAGCTCCCTGATAACTCCAGGTGAGTTTGGGAAATCAGTCAGGCACTGCCCCAGCAGAGGGTATGACTGAACAGAACTAGTAGTCAGTGCCTCACCCTTTGCTCCCAAACACCCCACAAGCAGCTCGGCTGAGGCGCTGGTTTCACCCTCTCTGGAGTGCTCCCCATGTTCCTCAGGCTGACACTGTGCCCTGTTCAGCTCTGTCTACCCTACAAGCTGCAGCACAGTGTTAAGATATGCACCAGGCTCGGCGCCTGTGGCTCAAGCGGCTAAGGCGCCAGCCACATACACCTAAGGTGGCGGGTTCGAATCCCCAGCCTGGGCCGCCAAACAACAATGATAGCTGTAACCAAAAAATGGCCTGGCGTGGCGGGCGCCTGTGGTCCCAGCTACTTGGGAGGCTGAGGCAGGAGACTCACTTGAGCCCAGGAGTTGGAGGTTACTGTGAGCTGTGATGCCATGGCACTTTACCCAGGGGGTAGCTTGAGGCTCTGTCTCAAAAAATAAAAAAAAAAAAGACACGCACCAGTCATCGGCAACTGGGAGCTGAAAACAGAGATGACATGAACATCAGCACCAACTCAGTATTGGGTGCAGGGGTGCCCCAGGCCTGCAGCACCCAGTGCACATGCTGAGAGAAAGGAGGGCATACCTTTCCTTGCAGACCATGTGGAGTAGGACTGTTCAGTCGGAATTCAACTCAGAAATTCTATCAATTCCCTGACTTACTCCCTCTAAAAAGAAAACCTATGTTAGGTGGCACCTGTGGCTCAAAAAGGTAGGGCACTGGCTCCATATGCCAGAGGTGGCAAGTTCAAACCCAGCCCTGGCCAGAAACTAAAAAAAAAAAAAATGTCATAAAAGACCCGTAACTTTCTAGTCAGACGTCCAGTCCTTGCTATAGGATTGGACACTGCTTCCTCTCTGCCCCGAGCCCATGCCTTCCTCTTGGGCAGGGCCTGGTGGTGTGCCATGTCTGTGTGTTGGTGACAGTAGCTTTGGAGAAGAAGAGCATGGCCGACAGGGAAGATACTGGGGTTGTCATCATCAGACCAAAGTAAAAGCCCTGGTTCAGGTGTCAGCAGACAGAGCACCAAGGCCACGTTACTTTACCTCTTAGAGTCTCAGTTTCCTCATCTATGAGTATAAAATCGGCTTAAAGATATACTTCCCTTGTCCACCTCACAGGGTTGCTGTAAAGACCCATTGATATACTTAATACAAAGATGCTTCCAAAAACATATGCATATGCACAGGTGTGTATGCACACATGTGAACACACAACAGAGGAGAAAGACTAGAAAGACTCGACAAATACACAAAGCCGCCAATGCTACTACAGTTTCACTGATTAAGACAGAATCTTACTCTGTCACCCTCGGTAGAATGCTATGGCATCATAGCTTACAGCAACTTCAATCTCTTGGGCTTGAGCAATCAATCCTCTTGTCTCAGCCTCACAAGTAGCTGGGAGTACAGGTGTGCCCCACCACACCCAGCTAACCACTATAATTTAAAGAGAACCAATTATGTGTCAGATACCATCTGGGTATTCTGAATACATTATCCCAATTCTTACAGTAGTCCTAAAAGGTAAATATTTTACCACATTGCAGGTAAGGAAACAGCCTTAGAGCAGGTAGCTGGTAGATTAAGAAACCTGCCTGACATCAGACATC